AAAATTATGATAATCATCTGATTCAAACTAAATGATGATTGTGATAATGACAAAGATCTGATCAAAATTAAATGATAACAATTGTGATAATTGTGCTAAATCCTAATTAGCTTTATTTATTAGCAAATTCGAATTCCTTAAATTAAAAAGAAGAGAGAGGGAAAGTAAGAAAAAAGAAAAACATACGATGAGGAGAATTGAATAAATTTTCCGCTTCTTGATTTAGTGGATTTATCACTATGGTCAATGTTAATATGCAATGTGCTGCGATGAATAAATTAGCAAATTGCCGAATCCAGCCAGTCTAATAATAAAAAACTGTATAAAATTAGAAATAACTAATAAATTACCCATTTCATTTTTAAGAACTTTTTTCGCATTTAAATTTGTATTTAAATGATTAAAAATAGAATTGATTAGAAATTTAACACATCACTTTAAATCCTAATTAATTTACTGTAATGGAACAAGAAATTAATCATTTATAATTTTATAATCGTTTTTTGATCGTAATAAAATTATCAAATAGTGTTAACCGTACGGCAAATAATTTGAATAAATGTATTAACGGGGATGGTTTCAAATCAAAATATTGCAAACTCTATTTCACCGTTTAACTTTCAATTTAAGTTCATATTTTAGAATTTATAATGAAATTTGAAATTATTGCCAGAAAAAATTCATCGTCGTTCAAAAATTAAAATTGCTTATTTCAACTATGTGGTACCTGTATGGAATTGATAACAGAATCTTGGAGTGAATTACTGTATGTTGCATAGCCAAGTATTGATACTGGCAAATACACCATTGTCACTACTACAATTAATATTCATTTATAAATTGATTATGAATTGTCTATTGGATATTATTAATTGCGCAATAATTAATAGGATTCAAATGAATTCACTTTAATTCACTTACATCTTTCAATTAATGGTTTAAATAATTTCCATTCATTGTTTATAAATTATTAAATTACAAGCTGAGAATTCAGCATCAGTTTTTGTAAAAATTTGAGCACTTTAAGGGAACAGAATGATTAATTCAACAAGGAAACACTGTCATCACAATCATTTCTTTGCTTTATTTTTTGAAAAATAATTTTTGAAAAACAATTTTCTTTTTTCTTTTATCAATTAATCATCTGAAAAGGCCGAAAATTCTAATACATTCATAATGCATTTTAGTTCTATTACCATTATTAAATTTATGGATATTACTTTCTTAAGAAAATTTGATTTGTTTAAGTGAAATCTTGCAAGAAATTTATTTATTTTGAGATATTCACTAAATGAAGACAAAATAATTGTAAAAATTTGCTTCGCGTAAATATATGAAAAAGAGGAAAAAATTTTTTCTACTCAAAAATATTTTTAATTTATTTTTAAGCAGTTTCATGTTCAAATTTGGTTTGTTTTAAAAAAATATGCTCCGTATTTTTTTTATTAAAAAAAAGAACAAAATAGATTAAAACAATTTTTTTTAAAAAAAAAAGCCCATCTTTCATCATGAAAAATCTTTTTTCAACTTTTATCATTTAATTTTTAAATTTATATTCCTAAAAAAGGAAAAAAAAAAACAAACTGGTAAAAGCAAGAATTGCAGAACGATTAAAATGTTTGGGATATTTCATATCGTGCTGTACACTCGGAAATACAATATGTCCACCAAAGCCAAACATATATGTCCCCAACGATGCGATAATACCATCGAGACGACTTGCGGGATTTTGATTGGATACAGTACCGTTATATTTACCATAATCCAACCATGAACCAATTACAATAAGTATTACGGATAGCAATGTCGTTAGCATAGCTAATACAATTGCCCACCTATTAAAATTATGATATTAGCTAAATAGGTTAATTAGAGGTTCGTCATCAGTGATGTGTACGATAGACTTTAGATGGTAATAAATCTTAATAGCTGAAAGCTTAAATTTTGTTCTTTTCTATTAAAAATTATTGACTAAGGGATTTGGTTTTTTCTGCTAAGAATAAAATTACTCTTTCAAATTTATCAGTAAATTGGCAGCAGATTAACAGGTTAGTTAGTTAGTAATTTAATAAACAATTTATTAGTATATTTATTGTTTACATTTGTCTAATGCTATTTATTTATTAGTAGTTGTTAAGTCTTTTTATAAAAAATGTCAATACTTCATAGTTTTTTTTTAAAAAAAAATTAAGGAACAAAAAAAATTTGGGAATTAATTTTTTTTGATTTTTTTTGTAATAAAAATGAAAAGTACTTAAGAAGAGTTTGATGCATTACCAAAAATCTTGTGGTGATCGTAATAATGTCACCGGATAGATAGCTATCACAACAAACAATAAAACATAGCAAAATCCAATATCGTAATTAGCAACGGAAATAATAAAATCATTAATGATATATGCTGCTAATAAGCAGAAAACAACAGCAATACCAAAAAGAACAGTGTTGAGAATGCATGAACAAATTAATCTGAAAATTGAAAAACATTCCATTTAATAAAACAATTATTAGAATCTTTTTTGGTGAAAATTTTTAGAAATTCAAGTAAATATGCATAAAAGTGTTTTCTCTGAGATATATTAAAATATTCCTTTAATAACATAAGCTAAGAACAAATAAAACAAAATTATCCTTATTGTTTTTGTTTTTCCAAGAATTTGCTCAATATTTTCTTCTCAAATAACAACAAAGAAAAATTGAGGGGAAAGAAAAATAAACCGTGCGCTTGTACCAATCGCACGATATGCCATTTCCGGATATGGCTTCCGGCAATGTTTAGAATAAGCGGTCCATCGATCACACATGATAATCCAATTATTGGACAGTATACATGCTGTATAGCAGAGTGCAACCGCTAATAATATCAAAATAAATATACCACTAAAGCTGCCTAAAATGATTATAATGTATGAATAAATTGCAATACTTTTGTAATTAATTTAATAAAAAATTATTAAATTGTTTATTCAATAATTTTTAAAACTCTTCGATTTTCAATCGATTATTAAAATTGAAGGAGAAAATTACTGATTAGCTGAATGAATTCTTATTAATAAGTGATTACAATATTATTCACTCATAAATTTTAACAATTTTAATTAATTTAGTAATTACTAAATATACTCAATAGTTATTTTTTAACAATCGTTAGAATTATTAAATGGTCGATGTAAAATTTATTTTATAAATAATAAAACTGATCGGGAAAGGAAGGAGGAAATGAAATATTTGTTTTATAAATGAATCTTTGTATTACAGATGTAGACTAATATTTTGATTTTAGAATAATGTGTTAATAGATTGGTAGGCTTTTAAACGCTTTTAGAAAATCGCTAAATTTTTAAAATTTTTTTATCAATTAAATTTGCTATTTCATTATCATCATCAAGATTTTATCACTTTTTTCATTTTAATTTTTAAAAACTTTTCTTTTTCATTAAAATTAATTTCTTGGAGCTGTTTTTGGATAATGCAAAAGTTTTTCATACTGCGTCAGCGCTGTCTTTTAAAAATGTCATCTGATGCCACGAAAATTGAGTAATGGAAGAGTTAAGCATTATTTTATTGTTCAAACAACAAATGTTGAGATTCAAATTTCATTTTATGACCTTTATTGCTTAACAGCTTTCTTGCCTTCTTTAAAAGACGGTTTGATTTTCAAAAACCGCTAGCAGCAAAATAGGGACAAAAGTTAAGTATTTCAAATTTTCAGACGTACGTACAGCGAGGAAAATAGATCACTTCGGAAATAGTGAACTTCACAGCAGTACATAACTTTCGTATTATAAAGTTACACTTCCTCTAAACTTTCAATGATATGCTTTTGTCATTAAAAATTCAATTACTGATTGTGGTTAATAAAATTTGAAAAGGTGAACATAATAAATGTAAGTTGCAATAG